AAAAAAAAAAAAAAAGTCTAATGTGTCCCAAGAATCTCTAATTATGGCCTTCTATACAGTAAGGTAGCCTTCTATTAAAAGAAGAGTCTAAGATCTCAGTCATTTAAGCATGTCAGATATAACAAGTCAAGATCCTTACAAAAAGTTAATTGATAGGAAAAACAGCCTTTACCCTCTAAATTAAGAGCTGGTGTCTTAGCTCAAGATACTATAACAAAGTGCCATAGACTGGGTGGCTTAAACAACAAACACTTACTTCTCACAGTTCTGGAGGCTGGAAGCCTGAGATCAGGGTGCCAGCACGGCTGAGTTCTGGTGAGGACCCTCTTCCAGGTTGCAGGCTGCTGACTTCCCCTTGTGTCCTCACATGGTAGAAAGAGGCAGGAGAGCTCACTGGAGTCTTTCATAAGGGCACTAACCCCATCCGGGAGGGCTTCCCCCCTCATGACCTTATCCCCCAAAGCCCCACCTCCTAATACCAGCGCAATGGGGGTTCATCTTCCAACATACGAATTTTGGGGAGACACAAACCTTTAGTCCATAACAGCTAGTAATGAAGAAAAGGAGGAACAGTGGTTAAATTAATGGAAAACTAATTTCTAGTTGCCTTTGAAGTATTTTTGCTTTTAGAGTTGATTCAGAGTGTTCCTTCCATGTCATTCACATCACTTCAAAGTTGTGTAGCCATCCATGAAGATCCCCACAGGAACACGCTCTGTACTCCTGAGTCTGTTTATTGGTGAACAGGATTGCTTCTCAGACTAAAAGTTATTGTTTTTTTAAGTTTGCTGTTGTTCTTGAACTTACCTGGGAGTTGTTAGTCCCAGAAAGGTTCATAGCACCTTTCTAACAGCTGAATCTGAGTGTGGAAGGAAAATGTAAATTCCTTTCCAGGTTCTAGCTAGACGGAAAACTTGAGTCCTCAGTAAAAGTAAACAGAGATTTGTAAAGTATGGCTATAAAATAGTGGAACTATCTTCATAATTATACCATAAGATTCAATCTCCATCTTTAACTTGACGATTATGCATGATAAATGTCATAGAAACTATCTAATGGACTGTAATATCTTCTTACTGTTTTACATAAGTTTACTGTGTTATTGTTTTGAGAAGATATAGCTTCAGTTTAATAAGCATTTATTGACCACCCAGCTCTCTAGTAGGCACTGTTGAGAAGATAAAGGATTAAAGGAACAATGCAGTAGTCTCTATCCTTAGAATCTTGAGGATTCTAGGGACGTGAGTCTTATGTTCTGGAAAGAATTAGAACAGAGGTCATGTCCCTTTCTCATCTCCCTGGGATTGTGGGACTCCAGTGCTAAGCTGTTTGCTGATGTAACATACTTGGGACCATCAGAGAGTGAATACTTGATCCATGAGATCTTTCTCAACACTCTGAAGGATTGTCTTTAGTGAACTTCTATTGGGCTTTAAGGCCTTGACTACATGAAATGTACTTGCTATAGAAATATTTTTTTAAAGATAATATCCATTATATTTCAAGTCTGTTATATATTAAGTCCTGTGTGAGACATTTTAATTCCTCTGGCAGAAAAAAAATAAGATGTTTTCTCTCTTAAAAGAGTTAGAACTATATTCCTGAGAACAATATTACATTGGCCACCAAGAAGCTCAGAAATCTCCAGCTATGCTATCAACTCTCGTGTCTATTATAATAACTATAATATCTCTGTGAGACTTAATGGCCTGTACACATGTTTTATTTTATCTTCCTTGTCATAAAATTCTAATCTACTTCTGTTTTTCCTAGCTTCCTTTTTATTTTTTATTTTTTTATAATTTTATTTATTTATTTTTTTCCCCAAAGCCCCAGTAGATAGTTGTATGTCATAGCTGCACATCCTTCTAGTTGCTGTATGTGGGACACGGCCTCAGCATGGCCGGAGAAGCGGTGCGTTGGTGCGCGCCCGGGATCCGAACCCGGGCCGCCAGCAGCAGAGCGCGTGCACTTAACCGCTAAGCCATGGGGCCAGCCCTTCCTTTTTATTCTTATCTTACCATGTTGTTGCAGGTATTTCTGGTGAGTGGTCTCAAAATCTTAAGGAATGATGGTTATGTGCAAATAAATAAGAAAAAATAAAATATGAGAAACTAATCATGGAGGTGCCATTTGTTTCATTGGCTGTATGAGGAAAAAATTGAAAATAACTAGTTCTTTTTTTTTTTAAGGAAATAGAAAATCACCTTGACAAGGACACAGAAGGCTATGACGTGGTGCTTGATGCCATAGACACGATGCAGCGAGTAGCCTGGCACATCAACGATATGAAACGGAAACACGAGCACGCTGTCCGGTTACAGGTGGGCCCTGGAGACGGCAGTGCCTGGTGGTGCTGTGGATGCGCTGACTCACTGTCGTTTTCCAAATCAAATAAATATTAAGGTTGCTCAAGTATTGCACCTCATTCGTGATCTTCACCATAGTTATCCCTGAAGAAAGATCAGGACACCAATCACACAGATCATTGTTGAACCTGGCTATTTAAGAGAAAGGTACATTGTAACTTTGTAACTAACAGCTTGCTCATAACCCCTTCAATGACCCCAGTTAAAATTTGAATCTCCCACGGCCTTATTGTCTGTTTATTACAAATAAGTAATTTTTGTTACAACAAGCAACTTTCTCTAAACTGTTTAAAGGGTTTTTAAGCCTCTGTTGCTCTTGCACTAATTCCTGCAAAATCGCGAGGTGGTGATGTGTGGTAATGAGGCAGGGGACTCAGAAAGAAGAGCTAAGTCTGGAGCTAGGTCCTTTGGAATGAGACTTTACTATTTCATTTTAGTTTCCTCATTTTTAAAATGAGACAGAGGGGCCGGCCCAGTGGCACAAGCGGTTAAGTGCGCGTGCTCCGATGTGGCGGCCTGGGGTTCGCCAGTTTGGATCCCGGGCACGCACTGACGCACTGCTTGGCAAGCCATGCTGTGGTGGTGTCCCATATAAAGTGGAGGAAGATGGGCATGGATGTTTGTTAGCCCGGGCCAGTCTTCCTCAGCGAAAAAGAGGAGGATTGGCAGATGTTAGCTCAGGGCCGATCTTCCTCAATAAATAAATAAATAAATAAATAAAATAAAATGAGACAGAGAAGGGATTTGCTAAGATCCCTTCCAGCACCAATATTTTTGAGCCCTGATTTCTGGGAACTTCTGATAAACGCTAAGCCAGTGATCATGTCTGGGGACCTCAAAAGGTCACGTGGGCCCAGAGGCTAGTCCTAGGCTCCTGGTTGTCCCTGGAGTGACACATAAAAGCCCAGAGTGATTCCATGCTCTATGGAGCGCCTACACGCAACTCAGGGGAAAAAGATACATTATTTGACCCATAAGTCCAAACAAAACTCTAGGCTTTTCTGTAGGCAGCCAGAGTGTGGCTGTGATACAATTGACCATCAAAAATCAAAGGAAGACAACGTTCTAATCTTTCAGCCCATGTCTGGTTGCAACAGTAAGAGAGGTTTCATGCTTCATCATTCAAGTGTTTTGTGGACGTAATGTCAGACATAATGTCTATTGCATATTTAGAAATGGCTCAATGACTGGTATTTCATAGCTTCTGAATTTGTTTGGCATTCTGAAGACACTACTGAGTTAGGCTCTGGCTCAGACTTATCTCTATTTCTATCAATTTCTACTTTCAATCAATGAAATTTTAGGTTGCCTTGAGGGCTGCTTAATTAAATACTGTTTGTGAATATTTTCATTTTTCAAATAATAAAATCAGGAGGCCGGCCCCGTGGCGTAGCGGTTAAGTGTGCGCGCTCCACTGCCAGCGGCTCAGGTTTGGATCCCGGGCGCGCACTGTTTGTCAGGTCATGCTGTGCCAGCGTCCCACATAAAGTGGAGGAAGATTGGCCAGGTGTTAGCTTGGGGCCATTCTTCCTCAGCAAAAAATAAAAAATAAAAATAAGATCAGCTTTCTTAAAAAACATTGATATGGATGTACAGTAAATCCCAAAGATACTTCAAAGCTGTGTTAATCAATTTATATTTACCAAGTTCCATGAAAAACATTGTGGTGAAGAAATGCTTATTTCCTTTCCCCAGATAAATGGGATTAATATCAGGAAATTTCTAGGAAGATGTATCTTGTGTGATTTTCCACAGGCTTTAGGTTTGCATTCCTTTTATGTGGTGTGGACTTCAGTTTCTGGAAGAAGGTTTCCAAGTCAATACCTCTGAAGGTTTTTGTCCAGAGAATAGGGGTGAGAAAGTCAGGGGAAGGATTCCCATCTGAGAAGGTCGTATGCCAGCGGCCTCTTTACCTAGCTTTTGAAAGACGTACCTGCTGCTGCCAGCCATAGTACAGGGATTATCAAAGAATGGAAATAAGTAATTGGCAACTTGTCAATTGACAACTTGATACATTTTGTGAACACTTAAGTGACACCACCCATAAATGGAGATTTATGTCGTGGATCATTATACACTGTTAGACACTGCATACATCCATCAGACGCTGTCGTAGACATTTAGTCACCCTTCTCAAGGCTCAGCCAATGGGCCGCCTTGTTCTCGCTGCCTTACCTTCCCACCTCCTGTTGAATCACACGGAACATTGACTTTTCCAGGAGATACAGAGTTTGCTCACTAACTGGAAGGGACCAGACCTGACCAGCTACGGGGAACTGGTACTCGAGGGAACCTTCCGCCTCCAGCGGGCCAAGAATGAGCGGACCCTCTTCCTCTTTGACAAGCTGCTTCTCATCACCAAGAAGAGAGACGACACGTTTACATACAAAGCTCACATCCTGGTAGGTCTGAAGACTGGTCACGGGCAAGGACTCCAATCGCGTGTCCGTTGTCTTCCATGGCTGCCTCACCCTCTTTCTGCTCTCCCTTCAGTGTGGCAACCTCATGCTAGTGGAAGTGATACCCAAGGAGCCGCTCAGCTTCAGCGTCTTCCATTATAAGAATCCTAAGCTGCAGCACACTGTTCAGGTAACAGCAGAGCCCCCGCCTCCCTGCAAGGCTCACTCTTGGGAATGGTGAGCACCATGTGCCAGGCGGCCTTTCCAGAACTTTCTGGCCACGTGGAGTATTTCCCATCTTGTCAGAGGGTTATAGGAGCGTCTGAATCTTGTGAGTGATGGAGGCGTGAGTTCTCTCACTGTCCACATCTCCTCCTGGCAGGCCAAATCCCAGCAAGACAAACGCCTGTGGGTTCTGCACCTGAAGAGACTGATCCTGGAGAATCATGCGGCAAAGATTCCGGCTAAGGTAAGGCAGGGAGGTCAACACACGTGTAAAGGAATTCAGGTCCTAGGAGGGCAGCCTGACAGGAACAAATGTTCAACTTCAACATAAAATTGAAAGAGAGGATACATGAGGGAGCAACTAAACCACCCATTTATACTGAAAAGATTCACGTGTAGGGAGACTCTGTGGAGAGTTGTTGGGTTTTGTGTATTTTTTACTGATGTTGTTGTTGTTTTCCCTTTTGGGGCTTGAAAGAAGAAAAAAGAAGGAAAAGGTGGTAAGAAAATGTCTCGAGAGCTAGTAGAAAATAGAGTTTTGAGAATTATTCAAAAGTGTACTAGATACCTACGGCAAATAAAGCTAGCTGAGGTTCTGTGGGAAATCTCCGGAAACAAGATCCTGACTCAGCTATGAAGGAATTTGTAGACAAGGGAGCTAGCCATATAAACAATGAACTGTTGGCTAAACATGATGAATTAATAGAGGTGTAAGCCAGGTGTTGTGGAAGGTTAAAGAGTTCAGTTACAGTGGAGTGGGGAAAAGGAAAATGCCTTTTACCTCAGTCTGGAAGGATGAGGAATATTTTTATTAAGTGGGAGAAAAGGAAAAGGAAAACCAAGCTGAGGGAACAACACAAACAAAAATAAAGAGATGTGAATGGGTGTTCAGGGCACACAGATTGTGCCTAGATGGAAGGGCTGAGTCCTCAGTAGATGGAGTAGGAAATGAGGCTGGAGAAGTGGAAGGCAGTTAGTTGACCTATGGAGGGCTTTTTTTTTCTGCTGAGAAAGATTAACCCTGAGCTAACATCTGCTGCCAATCTTCCTATTTTTTTTTTTGATATCTGAGCCACCACCACAGTGTGGCCACTGACAGACTAGTGGTATAGGTCCGAGCCCGGGAACCAAACTCAGGCCACTGAAGCGGAGCGCACTGAACTTAACCACTAGACACCAGGGCTGGCCCTATGAAGGGCTTTGACTAAGGACCTATGAAGGGCACATACTAAGAAGTCTGGATTGTACTGGTGGTGGGAAACTGCTGAAGGTTTTAGAGGAAGGGGATGACATGGTGTTCCCTGTGTTCCAAGAGTGTAACTTTAAGGTCAAATAAGACATGTGAGTTGGAGGAGTGAGATTGGAGGCAGGAGAAGATTTAGCAAGCCACCACAATGGTCTAGAAAAATGATGGGCACTACCAGGCTGCCACAGCAACAGACGGGGGGGCGCAGGTAAAAAGCCCGTCACCGGCGCAGAGGGAGCAGGATTCTGCCCATTAGGTGCATGAGGGGAGGGAGAAATCAGAGTCAAGGATGAGTCAGGCATCAGGCCAAAAGGATGGTGTTGCGAGTTCCCAGATAGGCCACAAAGGAGAGGAACCAGTTGGTTGGCACTGTTGCTCGTGCTGGGGCAGGTCAGCTGCAGGTGGAAATTCAGGTCTAGGAGGCTGGGGATCTAGAGGCTGTCTCCACACAGTAACTGAAGCCCTGAGATTTGATAGGATGGCCCATAAAAATGGGTAAAGGAAAGAAGAACCTTGGGAATCCCAACATCTAAGTGGTCTGCGAGGGGGTGGGATTTGGAGAACAACCAAAGGAAAGTGGCCAGTGAGGTAGTAAGAAAACCGGAGAGGAAAGTGTGGGAAGGAAGGACGGAAAGAGACTCAAAGAGAGGGAGCGGAGCAACAGTCTCAAATGCTGCAGAGCTCAAAGCAGATGCCAACAGAAAAGCAGATGGTAGCTTTGGCAACTAAGAGACAAGCAAGAGATTGCAGTGGGTTGAAGAGAAAGGGGGATATAAGGAACAGACTGCATGTAGATTTTTTTTTTTTTAACAAAGTTAGAAAAGACAAAAGGTGGTAGTTTGAGGAGAGACAAGATCAAAGCAAGATGCTTTGTGTAGATGAAGAATGCCATGGACATAAATAGGCTGAGGGGAGGGAGACAGGGAAGGAGAAAGTAAAGATGAGAGGAGGAATGCTGGTCTGAATGCGACCCTGGGTAGGTGGCATGAAGGGATTGAAAGCACAGTAGTAGAGCGGCTGGCCCTGTGGCCTAGTGGTTAAGTTCGGCGTGCTTCACTTGAGTGGCCCAGGTTCAGTTCCTGGGCGCGGACCTAAATCACTGGTTGGCGGCCATGCTGTGTTGGCAACCCACATACAAAATAGAGGAAGACTGACACGGGTGTTAGCTCAGGGCAAGTCTTCCTCAAGCAAAAACAAAAACAGTAGTATAGGGTTAGTCTTGGAAAAGGCCAGACACATCTTCTCTGAGTTGGGAGAGAACAAAGATGGGGAGATAGAGAAACTTTGAGGTAGATTTGAGGGAAAATAAAGGGTTTGATTTCACTGAAGATAGGTTTGATTGATGGTGTCATCTGCTGGGTGAGTGAGGCAAAGATGGCATTGGGTGCCTGAGGGAAAATGGAAAGGTTCAGAACACTTGCTTAAAAAAATGGACTGGAGAGTGAGGAGGGATGACCACAATAATTTGTGAAAGGCATCCGGGACCCAACTGAAGCTGGCCATGCGAATCAGTGTGAGGAGGTAATTTTAAAGTCCGCCCATGGGCCAGTCCCATGGCTTGGCAGTTAAGTGCGCGCGCTCCGCTGCTGGCGGCCCGGGTTCGGATCCCGGGCGCGCACCGACGCACCGCTTCTCCGGCCATGCTGAGGCCGCGTCCCACATACAGCAACTAGAAGGACGTGCAGCTATGACATACAACTGTCTACTGGGGCTTTGGGGGGGAAAAAAAATTAATTTAAAAGTCCACTCAGCAACTTGGAAACTAGTGTTGAGGAACCGTGGTGCATGTGGGTTCCCCGAAGTTGGGGATTGTCAGAGTGAGAGGAGGAAGGTTAGCAGGGCAAGAGAAGGTAGGGTGCCAGTCAGCACGTAGTTGCAGTGGTTGAGCATGATTTCCAGGCTGAGTGGAGAGTGCAACCAACTGGGAATGTAGGCCTGGCTTGAAGGATCGCTGGTCTTGAAAAGTCAGAGAACTGGTTTAGCAGGAGTTAAAGGTGGAGAAACTGAAATGTAGAGCTCTATAGTTGAAGAAGGGACTTTTGGCGTCCTGCCATAGAGGTAGGGCAGTTCTGGATGATGATAAGGCTCTGGGGGTGGCTGTGATTATGTGTTGCTGTTCTGGAGTGGAGGAAAAGGTTATCAGGGATAAAGTGGCAGGGAACTCAGGTGTGGGTGGAGAATGGATTATCCACGTGGATGGTGAAATGGTCCATGCTGGGGCGGGGAGGAGGGAAGTGGAGCAGAAAATGAGATGATGATCATGAGAGCAGAACTGGGTGGAAATTAAGGAGAACTGAGATTTCCGAGAAAGGAGTCTATTTTGTTCTTCGTATATTTTTGGAAAAGCCTGTGAAGCAAGTTCTGATGGGCTATCAGCAGTGACTTTGAACCTAGGAAATGAATGGGCATAGGTGTGTTCTTTGACTTAAGCATGAGTCTCATTTCATCAAGGTGTTCCAAGATGTAAAGGAGCTCATGCAGAGAGAGAAGTGCATTTTCTTCCTGGTTAGTCATTTGGTTGCTGGCCCTGTGCCTTGGAAAGCCCTTCTGGGCAATGGTGAAGTGTCTTTGATATGCCCCACTTATTGTTTACCTGTCTACTAGGAAAGTCAGAACTGCCAGAGGGATTCTGAAAGGCAGATATAGGCCATTACAAAACAAGATTGGCTTATGTACTGCCCTCTTTCTCCCACACAAAGGGTGAGTGTTCCAGGCAATTTTCCTTTTATGTGTTAAAACAGTAATACAGTAACAATAAAAGTGTACTTTTTAGCCCAAGTTCTTGATCCTTTTAGAATCTAAACATGTTTTTTAGCTACAACTTCTTGAGCACACATACCCCGTGCTAACTATTCTTATTTCTCCCTCTGCAAAACACCCTGTGAGATAGGTCTTATTCTCCCCATTCCAGAGAAATGAAAACAGAGACTCGGTGACTTTAACTAAATTGCCCAATTTATACAACTAGTACATGACCGAGTCCGGATTCAAACCCAGGTCTGTCTGGTCCAAAGAGTGTGTTAACCACATTGTTCCCAGAGGACAATGAAAGCATACTTATTTAATATACTTTATCCACTAGAATGTTATAATGATTTTCTGTTTTATTTAAGCAGGGTTATTACTTAGTTGAACTTTTCACTTCTTTCCTCAAGACTACTTAATAGTATTAACAGAGCTGTTAGGAATGCATTAGTGTGTGTATTCCAGCATCCTTCTGCGCCCTTCATTCAATGATGGTCCCAGGCTGACTCCTAGTGGAAAAAGTGGGCATAGTACTTTTTTGAAATTAAATGTCAAGACAGGAAAAGAAAAATACTGAGTTCTTGAAGTCAAGTTTATAGATACCAGGAAACTTCTTGGAAATAGCCATATTGTCTATTCATACACATGGTATATAAACTAACGCTTATCTGGATTAATTGAGAATAAAGGTGAAGGTAGAGACTTCTGTATTTTATATGTTCACGTGGTTCTGTAAATGTACTTCACAGAAACTGAGCTAACCTTTGTGTTTGAAATTAATTCCAACCAGCAATCTCAAACTCTGTGACTATATGATTACAAATATCAGCATTATAAAAAAAACTAAGAATTTTTTTTCTCAAAATTAAGGTGACAGCTGTGTCCTTCAGAGCCCTTCCCCCATACAGCAGCTCTTTCTCCCCCTTGGAGAGATTCTAGGGCACACAAAAGGAATGGTAGGTGCAGGGGTGCTGTAGGGAGCCAGGAGAGTTAGCTGATGATAATTCCATAGCATTTGGAAGGAGGAAAGCAGGAAACTTGCAGCAACCTTTCTGCAATCAACTCAAAATAGCTATAAGGCCCCAATGAAATGGGGAGGGTGAGTGGTGTAGACCCTAGGCCCTATCCTTTGAGCTTTTGGTTCAGTAGATCAGGGTTGGGTAGCAGGAATCTGCATTTTATGATAAGCTGACCAACAGATGCTCATGATCAGCCAGGTTTTAGAAACATTAGTGAAAGGTTCCCGTTCTCTCTTTCTCTTTCTCCCCTGTCTCCCTGACCCTTTTCTCTCTCTCTTTCTCCCTTCCCCCTCCTACCTCCCTTTGTCTCCCTCCCTCCCTCCTTCCTTCCTTCTTCCAGCCAGCCAGCCAGCCAGCCAGCTATCTATCCACCCACCCACGTGGGGGCTGTACCCTTAGCTCTGGAGCATCAGTTGTGCAGCACCTACCACCCACATGGGGGCGCTCATCTGTTTGCATCCCTTGACCTATGTATTAATGCCTAAAAGAAATTAGTTTTTTTAAAGCTTTTCAAAATCTCCTTATTCAGGTGGGCTAAGACCCATATTAGGATTGGTAGTTTAAAGAAGAAACAAAAATAGATAATTGCAATTATAACTACACTTTCTTTCTTTCAGGCCAAGCAAGCAATACTTGAAATGGATGCCATTCGTAAGTTTCATCTTCTAAACACAATTTGAAATTTCATTGTCTACTTGTGCCTGTCATATTTTCAATCTTAAAGTTTATAAAAATGTCATTTCTAAAAAAGTAGCAGCTCTCTATTCACTGTTTTAACAAATAGAGCCGGTAGACGGTATAATCTCTTCCTAACGCATTGACTAGTTTCTACACTGATTTCGCCTGGTTTATCTGTGAGTCACCTGGCCACATGTCTAGGTCTGTGTATCAACTAACACTGTAAAGTATTCTTCCAGGGTCAACTCTTATCCTCACCTCCACCACACCAAAAATTAAGGTCCCACAGTGCTTTTTTCACCTCACCCATCGATGGAAAGTTTATGTTGATTATCATAAGAATCATGCTAACTAGATAGTTATTGGTTTTCCTGATGCAGCATAAATTTTAAAATTATAAGTGCCCCCTATGTGATTGTATTTCTAGGCTTATAAAAACAGGCAGAGAATAAATATAAGGGAGGTCTTTCCTATAAAATAAAACCTTTTTCAATAGCACTTACCACATCCTTGTTACCTCCCCGATTAAATAGAATTAAAAGTGAAACGATGACTTTAAAGACTTACAACCAAGTGTGACAGAAACTTTTACTTAAAATATTCAAAATAACTTACTTTTGAGGAATCTTTCCCCAAGTGCAAACATTGATTCAATTACCCTCCAACCTGCTGGTGGTTAACCCTCCGGGAGAAACAAGAAGCTTTCCACCAGAGTGGCAAGATGGGCACCAGAGCCACTGGGCTGAGATGCCCCATTTCATGTCCAATAGATTCTGAGAAGTGATGCAAGGTGGTCCCTACCAGGGGGCTAGGCTGGGCTCACTCACAAAATCCTACCATTTTGTTCACTGGAAATCTCTTTAGGATTTTTTTTTTAATAGAAGCACTCTGAAGACAGGGCGAGGCCATGGATGGGCAAATTAGGAGGCAAGAGGAAAAAGGTGGAGGTCTGGAGAAGTCAGCTACTCCTGTGACTAGCTCCATTCAACAAAATTATTTTCTTATTCCCAGGCTATGGGCCAGCTCTTAGAAACCAATAAGATTCTATGAGGGCACAGAATGATTTAAGCTACTAACATGCTTCTCTTCTAGGCCCAGGGCTAGGCCAGAGCAGCCCAGCCTACGTAAATAACCTTATTCGCCCTAACCTCTCTTTGGACTTGGCTGAGTGTGAATAGAGTAGCCTGTCCATTGGGCCAACAAGCCTCATTTGTTTAACTTTGCCGCTGACATTGGAGAAGAGTATGTGGTCTTTACAATCCTCAGAACTCTCTGGAACTTTAGACACCTATGAGGAGCCTTAACCCCAATTTGAAGAACACCAGTTGACAGTTACGTCCTAAAATTTTTTATCCTCAGGCTTCAGGGTGCAGATGATCATTGAATATGCTGCAGTACTTTAGCATCAGACCAGATTTTCTCAGTCTGAAGTCTGTGTACCCCTTAGACGGGGAAGAAAGACATAAACTATGAAATTAAATGAAAATCCCTTTTCTGGTAAGAGAACCTAAAGTGTTCATCGAATGTTCCAAGGAGCAATGTCTAGAAAAATGCTAAGAGTCATGCACTGGAGGACAGCTTCCGTAGGGGCAGGAAGGAATTGACATCCTCCACCACTGCACCGGGCGCAAATGGCTGAGAAATTGTCACTCAGATTGAATTCTCCAGATGGTTTTACCTGGGCAGGGCCTCTGTTGCGGCCCATCATTGAAGTCTGTCAGGGGCCTTGGTAGCAAGTTCAGCCACAGGGATTTTTATTTGAATGGAGTTTTCTGACCTCTGTGGGTCATAGAGTTGCAGATGCTTCTGAGTGGCAGGAGGGAGTTACTGTGCCTTACACATTTTAACTAACTTTCTAGGAAGGGTGAAGCCATTGGTTATAACTCTTTCTGCTAGAGAGTGGAAAAAGAGAGTACATAGAGAGCTAGAGCCTGCGTGTGTGTGTGTGTTTGTGCATGAGAGAGAGGCAGCTTAACCTGCTAACACACTCCTGGAAGTCTCACAGTACACAGAAAGCCCTGAGATACATATTAAACACCAATTATGGAAGGAGGGATGTATCCATGTCTGATGAAAAAGAATAAATCTCTAGCTATCCAAAACAAGTCACCCCCATTTTCTGAGAAGTCCCTGAACACCTCATTCTTACAGATGCATGTGGTCATCTTTCCAGATTATCCGGGCTTCTGTTACAGTCCTGATGGAGAGATGAAAACATTTTGTGGTTCCAGAGATGGTTCTGCCCCGTATCGGCTGAGAAGAAAATCTGGTAAGTAGGGTGTTGTAATCAAAATTGAATCATTATGGGGGACTAGGAATGAATGTCCCTTTCAGTCTGACAAAGGGCATTTTCTTTCTGGTCTTTGAGCTCACTGTCTGAATACATTTGAGGCTGCCCTAAGAGGGCCTCTCAGGCTTTTGTTCTAAAACTCTTTTCTACTTAACTCTCTCTTTTCTAGTGAATATAAAACATATCCATCAACTAATTTTGCTTTGCATAGCATCTTACATTAGCACACAGGTACTTAAACCCTATTTACTATCTCTCGTGGAAAACTGTATCCTGTAAATGACACATACAAAAGATTATTCAAACCTAAAATTTTAACACACATTTGCTGAACCAGACTCCATATAGTATTCCCTTAGCCCTCCAATTTTATTATTTCAGTTAGTATTTGTTGAGTACCTGTTTAATCCCCTGCACTGTGCTAAGGACTGGGAATGCAAGGATAGATAATATACACCATTCCTGCTTGCGAGGAGTTCATAGTCTAGTGCGAGAGTCTGAGAAGGGGAATAAATACCAGTGTGTGTGCTGGAGCTGTGGCAGAGGTGGATGGATGGACGCGTGGAGAGACACAGGCGAGAGGAGGCTTCCCAGAGCAGAGGACAGTTCCCCAGCGGGAATCTGGGGGCTGAGGAGGCAGATGGCATGCGAGCAGCACGTGCAGAAGCCCTGAGACTTGAGCCAGAGTGCCTTAGGTCAGACATCATTGCCATTCGTTCGGTCTGGCTGGAACGTGGGATGGAGCTGAGGAGGAGGTGGAGTTGGTGAAATCGAAAGAGATGTGGCTGGAGATGCAGATAGGGGCCTGATCACGGGAGGCCGAGTAGGCCACACAGAGGGTTTGAACTTGATTCTGCAAGGATTTTAAGCAATGAATTATGAAAAAAGAGAATTCTGGCCTGATGTGGAGAATGACGTAGGCTGGGAGACCAGGTAGCAGGCTGTCGCTTTGGTCTGGGTGAGGCTGGGATTAAGACAGTGGAGACTGGGGTGGAGCGTTATTGGGATCCCACTAGACTGTGGTGGATGAAAACAGGAGACATTTAGAATGATGTCCTGGTCTGTCACTTGGGAAGGTAATGTTGATGACAACCAAGGTAGGAAATACAGATGAAGGAGCAGAGTTGGGGGAGGCCAGTGAGCTGAGACTTGCTGAGTTTGCTAGGTCATGGGCACATTGGGGAAATGTCAGATTGGCAGTTGGCATCTGAGGTCTGAGGTTTGGGACAGGCGTCTGAGATAAGAATATAAAATTAAACATTATCAGCTTATAGGTGGTAGTTAAAGCTAAGGAAATCGCTCTACTAGTTGGTGGGGTTGGTTTTCTGTTATGTGACTCCTGATTGCACAGCTTAATGTTTATCTTACAATTTTGACGGAGTAAATGTCTTGCTGCTAAGTAACTCGAAACAATGGGGATGATAGAAATTTTCTAGAGCTTGATTAATTTGCCTATAAAGTAATAATTCATTTGCAAAGAAAAAGTCTTGATTTGGTTTTGCAAATGATGCTGGCTTTCCTTTTTTCTCCCAGAACCTTCCTCAAGATCACATAAAGTTTTGAAGACCAGTGGTAAGTCCTAAAATACATTTTCTTTTTTCCTTCTTATTGATATCCAGGTGAATTACAGATTGACAGATTTGATTACAGAAAGATTAACTTCTCTAAGTGAAAGTATTCCATGACAAAATGTAAAGCAAATGACATAAAATGTTTGCAACATGGAAACAGGCATAAAAAGATTAATGTTCCTATTATATAAAGAAATCCCATGCTTCAGAAAAAGAGACAAAGGACTCTTTCTTAAAAGGCAGAGAATATAATTAGGCAGTTTCACAGAAGAAATAGAAACTACCTATAAAATTGTAAATGGTCACCCATATTAGTAATCAGAAAAATCATACATTTAAGTGACACAAATTGGGGGAAAAGCTATGAGCTCAGCCAAAAGATAGAGAAAAATAGGCACTCTAGAACTATTGGTGGGAGTATAAATTTCTGCAGACTTTTTGGAGCAGGAGTCGGTAATGCCCATTTAAATTTAAAATATGCACTTGCCCTTGACCCAGCAATTTTGTTTTTATCAATTTCACAATGTACACTTGCCGTATAGAAGTACTCACCCAGGTGTGGACAGATCTGTGTCTGTGTGTGTATGCTTTGCAGCGTTTATAGTAGGACACCACGTAAAATGCCCATCTAGTGGGAAATGGTTCAATAAGTTGTAGTTTATCCTCGAATACTACATGGAATGTTCTGCAGGTGTCAAAAAGAATGAAGCACATCTCTCTCTACTGATGGGCATGTCCATATATATTTGCATATTGCACCTCTCTTTTAAAAAGCAAAAAAACTATGGGCTGTGGTGGGATGGGGGCAGTGTGTATGGGACCTGGAAAGATGAACATCAAACTGTTAAGAGTGGTTACATCTATGAGGTGGGATTTGTGGAGAGGGTTCCATCACTTTTTACTTTATGTGCTTCTGTAGTTAAACAGTTTTTAAAGATGAAACACACATAATAAGGTTATCTATGAAGATGTAAATCTCTCCCCACAATCCTACTTGCACTATGCCTTAGCACAGTGCTAAGGTGCCCCTGTTGATAAATGTTACATCTTTCAGTTAAAAGCAATAAAATGTTTAAAAATTTGGGGCTGGCCCCGTGGTGTAGTGGTTAAGTTTGGCGCATTCCACTTTCGCGGCCCGGATCCCTGGCGCGGACCTACATCACTCATCAGCCACACGGTGGCGGTGACCCACATATAAAGTAGAGGAAGATTACCACAGACGTTAGCTCAGGGCTAATCTTCCTCAGCAAAAAAAAAAAAAGAAAAAAATTAACAGAAGCATAGTCTTATGTTTAAATGATTTTCATGGCTTAGGGCACGTGGATTTTTTTAAGGTAATATATATTTTGGGGGGAAGGTTTTAAACTTATTAACATGGATTGGTCCATTGCTCTCAGGGATTAAGGAAAATACTTAAGACTCAAATGTATGTCAGATTGTTTTACATATAGTACAGGATATAAGATAACTGAGAGGCATTTTCTGAAAATTGGGTCTAAAGAACCCAGAAGCCTCTTGGGCTTCAATTATTTATTTTTTTGTGAGGAAGACCGGCCCTGAGCTAACATCTATTGCCAATCCTCCTCCTTTTTTTTTTTTCCCCCCAAAGCCCCAGTAGATAGTTGTATGTCATAGTTGCACATCCTTCTAGTTGCTGTATGTGGGACGCGGCCTCAGCATGGCGGGAGAAGCGGTGTGTCGGTGTGCGCCCGGGATCCGAACCTGGGCCGCCAGTAGCGGAGTGCATGCACTTAACCACTAAGCCACGGTACCGGCCCTTGGGATTCAATTATTAACAGTGTTTAAAAGTCTTATAAAATATCAATGCTTACCTATGTATGAGATAACATTTTTAATTCTCAAACATAAAAACAAAAAACTTTTCTTTTTCAGAAACAGCACAAGACATCCAAAAGGTAAGCACTATTACATTTCTTATTTTGGAATGTTTACTTTAGGCACCTTTTGTAAGTACCCTTCTAGATCTCAGCCCCGGCCAGTATGCCAGGTGGAAACAATTATTTTACATTTCAAAATAGGTTTAAGTGAGGACTTCCCCTTATCAACATCCTCCCTCCCCCTGCTGCCTCTCAGAACTAAAACAATGATTTCTTCATCCCTTTGCCCCACCTCTCCCCCAGAAGCTATAAGGTTACCTTAGGATATTACACTGCACAGTGCTAGTGTGGCCCACCTCACATTGCCCTGTGCCTCTGTGCATGTAAGACCTAGGCTCTTGCATATTGAGTATTGATCCCTTCTCAGAGCATTAGCCTTCGGTCACCAAGATCCCCTTCTAAGGATCGGGTCTTGCTGTTGGTGTGAGAGGTGTGGTGAAATGTGATATAATGAAACTTCCCTATACCAAGTTTTGATTTTTCTTCCTCTGATAAAAGGTTAGGAGATGGGGAATAAAAAGGGTGTGCGTTATTAGAAGATGTAGATCCAGATTTATTACCTGTGAAGACTAGATATTCTATCCTGACCTGAGGAGACCATGTCCAATATGGCTACTGATCAACTGTCTCAATTAACAGTTCTTAGAGAACTGATCGTGGCTTCTTGTTTAATGTCCATGTATCTCTCAGGCTATGGCTGTGAAAATCTCTTCCCACAGTTCCACTTGCACCCTTCCTTAGCTCAGGGCCAAGGTGACCTTGTTGATAAATGCTATATCTTTCAGCTAAATGCAGTAAAATGTCTAAAAATCAGCATAATCTTATCGCTCAGTGATTTTCTTAAAATTAGGGTGTGTGGATTTTTTTCACGTAGTATATATTTTTGTTTGGAAGCTTTTGAAATAAGACTAATTAGTTCATTGTCCTGAAATATAGCTTGAGATTTTGATTTTCTTGATCTACTTAGTTTTCATAAACAAACATTGCAGAAGGTGCCTGCTGTTTAAGGCGGTCAAATTAGCTCATGGAGCCAAGCCCTGCTCAGTACCAGGTGGGGGAATCACTCTGTCAGTTCTAGAGATACAATCTCAGCAGCTTCCTGGAAACTTTCTATAGTAGTGATCAAGCCAAGTCTCCATTTGGGGACTAACTAAACCTAATGAAATCTGAAGACAAGAAAGAAAGAAAACACCAAAGTACTTTTTTCTTAGTGATAAAATTCCGTCTCCTAACAGTAATGAATGTGTACTAAATGCGAGGAGAGCAGATATTCCGAGGCCTTGTGTATGTATATGTGTATGTATGTATATGTAGATGGATGGTTGGCTAGATGGATTGATGGATGGATTGATGGATAGATAGGGAAAGTGAGAGAGGTTAAGCTCGTATATAAGCTTTGGATTAAGACATGGATTCAAATCCATTTTTGCCTCTTATAAGCTGTATGGACTGTAGGCAGGTTGTTAACCTTACCAAGATTTAGTTTCCCAGTTTACAGAGTTGTTATAAAGATTAAATGCAATAATATGTTTTTTTGTGTGTGAGGAAGATCAGCCCTGAGCTAACATCCATGCTAATCCTCCTCTTTGTGCTGAGGAAGACTGGCTCTGAGCTAACATCTATTGCTAATCCTCCTCCTTTTTTTCCCCAAAGCCCCAGTAAACAGTTATATGTCATAGTTGCCCAGCCTTCTAGTTGCTGTATGTGCGACGCGGCCTCAGCATGGCCGGAGAAGCGGTGTGTCGGTGCATGCCTGGGATCCGAACCCAGGCCGCCAGTAGCGGAGCGCGCGCACTTAACCGCTAAGCCACGGGGCCGGCCCCTGCAATAATATGTTTTTAAAAGTGCTTACTACAGTATTTGGCACAAAGCAAGTGCTCCATGAATGATAGCTATTATATTATTATTAAATAGCTGTAGTGGTGAGAATGTGGAAAAACAGAAAAAAAAAATGTTCATCCTGGCTCTGGTGAAGTCGAGGTATCTAAACTACATGCTTGTATGTTGTTTCCAATCCATATACTGATTATTTCTTAATCTAAGAGCTTCCTCCATTCTCCTGATGATGTACTTGCTGTAAATTTTCGGCTGACAAAGTCCTGCTATCTTCATTTCAAGTGTGATTATCTTAAAAATATACGTTGATATTAATAGTTCAGGTTTCTTGATTTTCTAAAACACCTGGGAATTTTCTGGGATGAAATATTTTAAGAAGGTGTTACTTCTGGCTGTGCACAAAATCATTTTGTTGCACTTTCAAAGTGTTTTGTTGTGATTTAACTAGTTAATATTAACTTGTTTTATTTTATGAAATGTAGTTACTGGTGCCTATATTTTCTAAACATTTTACCAGTGCAGTGTAAGATGAAAAGGGAGAGATACTAAAGGATTAAAAAAGAAACATTAAAACTCTAAATATAATATTATATATGTATATACGTATATCCATATGTGTGTGTATTCATTTATTCCTAGGCCTCAAATAGTCCACAGTTTTACTATGTGAAAAAAGTGAACAAAAGATTAAATGACCAATTGGATTCATTTTTATTTTAAATTTTTAATAGAAAAATGACATTCAGGAGGAAATTTTATTCTTGCCCTCCTGACTCTTCTCTTCCCTCCCTGATAGATAGGCACACAGACAGATAGACATATTTATAGATAGATATTCCAAAGCATTATGTATCTAGTTTCACTGATAAGTGATGAAAAGTTCTTGCTAATTTGACATTTCCAATAGGTTACTATAGGGTTTTGATCAGAAAATATGTCCCTGGTACTCAGTTTGAATGGGTCTTAACCCTTTCAATTCTTTGAAGCAAATCCTTATCCCTACAGAGAGCAAGTGTGCAGTCCACTCCCTGTCTGTATAGTTGAGCTCCATCAGGAAAGGTTCCAAGTTATAAAAGACCCGTTGTTTTCTTTGATTAGAAATCATTAATGTCACTCATATTTTATTTCCTAACAGGCATCTAAATATTACTTAATTAAACATATTTTGAAAGAAAATAAGAATTTAAATAGCTCAGTAATGGATTAAATTGCATTCCTTCAACGAAGGCTCTTTGCCTAGAATCTGTAAACCTAGGCAGTGCTGGTCAGATTCATGGCAGGTCTGCAGATTTAAGGGATACCCTTGGATCTGCAATTAGATCTGCAATTGCAGATCTAATCTGCAATTAGATCTCTGACAGGGGCTTCTGGTATACCGGAAACCACAATAAGATGCCTAGGAGTCAAGCCCCCCATAGAAACAGATACTGTGGCCCTTGACCACAGTATCTATTCATTTATATAATGTTATTTGCCAAGTGCACATCGGAATTATTTGAATTATCTGAGTTTTCTGTATTTAGCTAATTCCCTGCATTGGGGCAAGGGATTTGGATCAGACCCAGGTTTGTGTCCTAGCCTTTCTACTGACTAGGGAGAGCAAGTTACTGAATCTTTCTGAGCCTGGATTTCCTTACTGTGAAACTGGTACAATCATATCCAATTCATAGAGAGATTGTGAACATGAAGTTTGGAGAATGTCTGCAAATGGCCTAGCCTATTTCTAAGTAAATATCAATTCCTGTCCTTTCTGCCCCTTTTGCAAAAATCTGAAGTGCTTTTCAACTCAGTTAAAATCAACAATGTTTACTTATCATTTTCTTTAAGAATATTACAGTCTGGTGGCAGAGGCAATGTGTAAATACAGGAGAAGGTCATAAGTTATGTGTCCATGGTGCCGTAATTCAATCCCTATGTTTCTGTCCTCAGGTTTCCAGAGAGGAAGGATCTCCCCAGCTGACTTCAGCAGGGCCATCTCCCGCCCAGAGGAGCAGTCAGCCAAGTGGGTCTGCCATTATCAGCGTGCTTCGCGGGGGTGGGGCCGTCAGAAACATCTGGACGGACCATCAGATCAGGCAAGCCTTGTTTCCCAGTCGACGGTCCCCACAGGAGAATGAGGATGATGAAGATGATTATCAGATGTTCGTGCCATCCTTTTCCTCTTCAGATTTGAACTCGACCAGACTGTGCGAAGACAGCACTTCGAGTCGCCCTTGCAGTTGGCATATGGGACAGATTGAGTCCACGGAGACTGCCAGCTCTGGACACAGGGTTGTTAGGCGGGCCAGCAGTGCTGGCGAGAGCAACACATGCCCCCCTGAAATAAGAATTAGGGACAGTGATGGCTCTCAGTACAGCCCCCGGAGGGAACTGCAGAGTGACCCTAAAACAGAAGGGCAGGATGGAATGACTCCCTTTGGGTCTTCTATAGAGTTGACTATTGATGATATAGACCATGTCTATGATAACATAAGTTATGAGGACTTAAAACTAATGGTTGCTAAACGGGAAGAGGCTGAATCCACTCCCCTCAAATCAGCCAGGGACTCTGTTCGCCCCAAGAGCACCCCGGACCTAGCCTTCTCAAAGAGGCAAGTTGGCCATGAGAAGAGCTCTCTGCACACAAAGAGAGATGGCGCTCTAACAGGTCAAGAGATGTCGAACCAAAGCACCCCTGAGCTGCAGGTGGTTGAGGAAAACATCTATGATACCATCAGGCTCCCAGACCCACCCTCACTGGATTTCAAATGCAGCAGCCTAAAGCGCTCCAAGAGGAGCACCTTCTTGGGTCTGGAAGCCGACTTTGCGTGCTGTGACAGTCTGAGGCCCTTTGTCTCCCAGGATAGCCTCCAGTTCAGCGAGGACGAGACACCTTACCCCCAGGGACCCTCTGATCATGATTATTTGAGTTTGCTATATAACTCTTCCAGCTGTAACTTGTCTGTGGCTGATAAGTCTATATCTGATAAACTGTCTGAAGAAGTAGACGAAATCTGGAATGACCTGGAAAATTACATCAAGAAAAATGAAGACAAAGCCAGGGACCGGCTCCTCGCAGCATTTCCGGTTACCAAAGATGATGTGCAAGACAGGCTGCATGCCGAGAGCACGCCTAAGCTAAGCAGAGAGGCAGGGCATTCCGTGTCCATGCTCTCACTTCCCCAGAGCCATGCTTTCCTTTCGCCACTGAAAGACAGGCCTGGCCGAGCTGGCCGGGCGCACTGCCCGTTTGAAGATGACCTGATTTCTAAAGAAGGCTCCTTTATGAGTCTGAACCGGCTCTCTCTGGCCAGTGAAGTACCTCCCATGGAAAACCCCTATGACTTGGCCCACGGCAGCCTGTCCCAAACAGACCTGGACAACCCTGACCCTGGAATGGAAGCCACAGATAAGACAAAAAGCAGGGTTTTTATGATGGCGAGGCAGTACAGCCAGAAGATCAAGAAGGCAAATCAACTTTTAAGAGTGAAAAGCCCAGAGTTGGAGCAGCCCCCGGCCAGCCAGCAGCATAAATCCGCGCACAAGGATCTGGCAGCCATCTTGGAAGATAAGAAGCAAGGAGGGGCGGCCATCGGTACGTTCCTTCACACTGCTTCTCTTCCTTCTCGAAAGTAAGATGTGAGAGCAGCTTTCAGGTTGTAAGTGTCCTTAAATTTGAGAACATTGTCACTCAGACGTTCACGCTTTCGCAGTGAGACCACAGGCTGACTGACTAACAGACGGGGCTGTTACTCACCTTTTCCCACTTCGCCGAATCCCACAAGGCGGAGGTGATGTGGTCTCAGAGAGTTTCGTTGTGCATGTAACCTGGTCACTACAGATTTGATGTTGTAGGAAGTTTTCTTAATTTCATCTGAAGTGTGAAAAATAGCAATTGGTTTCACTTGTGGCGTCTAGAGCTGCTGCTTGTGTATCAGTAGTGTGTTAGGAGGAGTAGTTTGTGTAAGCTTTTAGGGTTTGAAGCATATGGAATAGGATTGCTCTTGGCTCCTGAATCCCAACAAAAATGCCTACGCATGCTAACAAAGACAAAAAGGAGCCCTCTGTGCATTTTTTTTTTTTAGCTGTTCACATTCTAACTCAGTTGTTTTCTCACGTATTTTGGGTATTAGTTGATTTTTTTTTTTATTGGTGAGGAAAATTGGCTCTGAGCTAACATCCGTTGCCAAACCTCCTCTTTTTGCTTGAGGAAGATTTTCGCTGAGCTAACATCTGTGCCCATCTTCCTCTATTTTCTACGTGGGACGCCGCCTCAGCATGGCTTGATGAGCGGTGTGTAGGTCCGTGCCTGGGATCCAAACCCTCAAACCCCGGGCCACTGAAGCGGAGTGCACGAACTTAACCACTACGCCACTGGGCCGGCCCCACTAGTTGAGTTTTTAAAATAGCTGCTGTCATGCATTTAAGACCATCTCATTTGGTATTCTCATGTATGCTTCTGAGAAGTTGAATTCTTTTCATCAAGCCTTCTTCGTGGGGCAGAACTAAACCAGGATCTCAGGTATGATATTGGTAGGATTAGGATTAAAGGAAGGATATGTTCACGGTTTGACATTTTTCTCCATTATAAAGAAGCACATATTCCCTGGCTAAATTAGAGAAGGTTCTGAAGGACAAAACTTAATACCAGTCTCCACGGAAGAGCATATATGTGAATAAAGCTCATGGTTGTTGTGGAAAGAAAAACCCAAGGGCCGTGGCCCTCACCTGAGGAGCCACAGATCCAGAGAGGTTTCTGGGGGTAGGCCTAGGAATCTGCATTTTTAAACAATGTAGGCTTTCAGTCATATTTTAAGAATCTTTGCACTAGATTTTCTGACAAAGGGCCAGCTCAGTATCAAATGAGAGGAGATAGTTCTCCAATTAATGGCAAAACCAGGTGGCCCAGTATCAGGGCACATTCAGATACCCAGCTTGATGGTGACATGGCTCATCTGGCCAGGTTGATGCCACTAACCTCCATTCTTTGGGGTTGATTTCTTTATCTCCATGGAAACCAAAGAATAAGAAGGGGATCTCCAAGCCCTCCACGAATCTACAAGTGACGTGACAAGAATCTATAGGGAATCCTTTTTTTTTAAGTTTGGGAGTATTTAAGGATTGTCTAAAGCTTTACTCTTTTCCTAGAACTAATCATACAGTAAAATTGTATTAACAGACAGGGATGGGCCAGCCCCGTGGCTTAGCAGTTAAGTACTCGCACTCCAATGCTGGCGGCCCGGGTTCGGATCCCGGGCGCGCACTGATGCACCGCTTCTCCAGCCATGCTGAGGCTGCGTCCCACGTACAGCAACTAGAAGGATGTGCAACTATGACATACAACTATCTACTGGGGCTTTGGGGGAAAAATAAATAAATAAATAAAATTATATTAACAGACAGGGAAGTTAAGCCCTGGAATTGCTACCTGAAGGATTTTACAGACTCTCTTTGAGTTGTTGTTCTTCCTTTTAAAGAAAATAAAGGTTAAAATTGATTTTTGTATGAATGTGAGAGAGACTAGATGGCATGTATTTTTCTCCTTGCAGTAATATGCTGAATTAATTCATGTCCCCTTTCCAACACTCATGTTGCTAAGCTGGTTTGTCATATGTAGAAAAAGTGACCGAGTTCCAGATGCAGAAGGAATATTTTGGGAGCATAGATGGCATTGGAAACAGTGGTGTATTGGCAGTGCAACTGTTGACTGAATCTAGGTTAGGGCTCCTCAGAATGAGAAAAAATATAATACTGAGGTTTCTGATGATGATGGATTATGACAGCAAACTGTCATTTGAAAAATGGTATTGTCCTGAGCCAGGTTATTTTGAATATGGATCATCCATTAAAATGCAAAACTCTAACCTTGAGAGAAGCATGTCCTTCAATACTTAATCATTAGGGCTTACAAAATAGTCTTCTTTTTT